TGGGTGGGGGCACCGAGCTGGGCGCGTGAGGGTGACGGACTGGGGGAGGCCGGACCCCGGCTTCCCGCAGCTGGAACCCGACCGAGCCCCTGCCCCACAGCACTACGCGCCGTCGGTGTTTGAGAAGTACTCGGCCAGCGTGACGGTGGGCAGCAAGGAAGTGACCCTGAACCTCTACGACACGGCCGGTGAGTCTCCTTGCTGGCCAGGCCCGGAGCTCAGGAACCTGCCCTGTAGCTGTGGATGGAGGGACCCTGGCCAGCCTTCCAGCGCTATGTGCTGAGGCCCTGGTTCGTTCCTCCCCTTGGCTCTAGAAAACGTGGGCTGTGCCCCTGCACCCCCGCCCCAGGGTTCCAGGATCACGTCCTCCCTGCTGTGGTCTGTGCAGGCCCCTGGGCTGCGGACTGAATCCCAGGTGCTAGGACTCTGTGGCTGCAGTTGGTCTGTGTCTGAGGCTAAGGGCACCTATGGATGCTAATTCTGTGCCCCAGGACTTCCATAGCTGGTTAGACCTACCTGGTCTCCTGTAAGGAAACTAGACAACTGTAGAAAATAAATGGAGAAAGCCAGATGTGGTGCAACACGCCTGTGATCCTAGTGCTTGGGAGGCTGAGGCAGGACAATTACCACAAGTTCAAGGCTAGACTGGGCTACATAGCTACATTGTGAGCTCCCATCTCAAAAAGAATAAAAAAGGGGCGGGGGATCTAGCTTAATGGTGCCACTGCTGGCTTCACAAGCACAAGGTCCCGAGTTTGATCCCAGGTACCAAAAAAAAAAAAAGATGAAGTGTCAGAGGGTTGGAGAACACCCAAAATAAGGTTCTGCATCCACCCGAAGCTCATCACAAAGCAGAGCTGGGCCAGTGAGCCAACCATTTCAGTCATGAGAGCAGTGTTATAAGGGTGGGAGAAACAGGAGGAGGACTTGGTTTCTCTTCTGAGCACCCCCACACTGGGGACAAAGGTCAGAATCCCCAGGCAGAGCCTCACCTCGCTCTGACTCAATGTTTAGTGACCTGGGTGGGACCAAGACTCCGGTGTCCCTTAACCCACCAGTCCAGCCCCCACGTGTGAAGCGACTGATCTTCGCTCACCTTGATGGGGTGAAATCCAGACCCCATGCCCCAGGCCAGATCAGGTCAGTGAGTGACTTGGGTTGTCCCGGTGCAGCTGGAAGTGAGTGTGAGCTGAGTGACACCTTGGGATGGGAGGAGGATGGCCAGGTGACCCTCTTAGGAGAAAGGCGGAGGCCACAGTGATGAGGCCAGGCCAGAGACAAGCCAGCCAGGGTGTAGAAAGTTCTAGAACATGGTGGCCTAGGCCTAATGAGTAGTGAGTCAATATGGAACAGAAGAGGCTCAGGACAGCCCCAAGCAGCCCCAGGCCCTTGTCACCAAAGCCAGTCTGCACATCGTGGTCACCTTCTGGTGGAAGCTACTGCAGACACTGCAGTACGCAGAGGTGGAGGGAGCTGGGCCCAAGCACCCTTGGCGCCATGGTCTCGCCCTCCTTCCTGTCGGGTCCTCAGAGGCCGGAAGCTGTGGTGAGGCCCAGGCTCGGGTGAGGGCTTCAGACACCCACAGACACTGAGCCCATGAGGCCTGGGGCCTTGGAAGGAACACTGGGTCCCCTCCCCACCTGGTGACAGGAGGAAAAGAGGGACAGGGGAGCTGCTTGGACAAAGAGCCAGAGACGTGAGGGGTGAGGTGAGGCCGAGGTCCCAGCATGGTCTCTGGGCTCAGGGCAAGGCTGTGGCACCTCCTGTCTTGGGAGGAAGCGCAGGTGGGTGGGCCCCGGGGCTGGTAAAAGTGGGTTCCTCTTCTGCTGTTTCCCTTCTCACCCTGCTGCACCCCTCCCTGACCAGCGCCCCAGCAGTCTGGTGACACCCTGCCCTCCTCGGCTCAGGGCCTTGGGACCTCTGCCCCTGAGAGGGCCGCTGAGACAAAGCCCCTGCCACACAGGAAACTCTCAGGTGGGGTGAGCTGCACTTCTGCCCGCCCCGGCCCCATCAACTGCAGGAAAATGGGCGGCTACAGGAGCCTCGCTCCAGACACCTCCAGAGACATGTGCTTCCTGTGTACAGATCATCTGGCTTTTATTTATGGATGGGTTAGGGCTTTTTGAGACAAGTTCTTATATGTCCCAGGCTGGTCTCAAACTCAAAGGGATCCTCCTGCCTCTGCCTCCTCAGTGGCGGGATCACAGGCGTGCACCACCACACCTGGCTGTGGTCTGCAGGCCCTTTACTAACCAGCTCAGGGCAGGGTTCAGCAGTTCCTCTCCCAGAAAAAGAAATGAAGACCCTGGGGAGAAGGGGCCAAGGTCCCGAGATGTGGGTGTGAATAACGCGGGCACTCCCGATCTGGGGGGGACAGGGTATCCAGGGCATTCAAGCTCTGCCTGGGAAGGTGTGGGGACAGCAGCACCATAGGACTTAGGGACAGCTGAAGTGGACAGTCAGGTCAGGAAGCAACCCAGACAAGGTGCAGGGCCAGGGCTGGGCAGATAGGATGAGTGTTGCTCCCCAGTTCTTTCTGGGGGTACAGGGAGAAGGAACCTTGACAGCCCTGCCCTTCAGCTGTGTGGCCTTGGGTGAGTCACTTCACCTCTCTGTGCTCGTGAGCAGCGACAACACAATGCAGGCAAACGGCCGTGGCAGGTGGCTTCAGAGGACAGCGGCATTCACCATCTTTATTTGCTGGGTGGCAGCTGTCGTTTTTTCAGGGGCTGCAGATGGAATTGAGGGCCTCACATGCTAGAAAAGAGCTCTCCAGCTGAGCTCAGCCCCAGCCCTACTGTTTTATGTGGAGAAAGGCTCTCACTAAATTACCCAGACTGGCCTTGAACTTGTATCCTCCTGCCTCAGCCTGGATTAGGAGCACTTGGCTAACCCTCAAGGCTTGCTTGCTTTTCACATCCATGCACCGCTGAGGAGAATGAAGGCCAGGGGTTCTTATGAAGACTTCTTAGAAGAGCGGAACTGTTTTTTTTTCTTACTTGTTTTTACACTACTGAAGATTGAACCCAGGGCCTTCACCCTGAGCTACATCCCCAGCCCATTTTTTAAAAATTTTGATAGAGGGTCTTGCTGAGTCACTTAATTGCCCAGGCTGGGGTTGAACTTGAGGCCCTCCTGCCTCAGCCTCCACCATGGCTGGCTGAGCTGGTGCTTTGGGAGCAGCCTGGCTGGCAGTGACCTTGCACTGTGAATAAGCTGGTGCCACTGTCACAGGTGCTCATGCACCCTTGACTGGAGCTCCTCCCAGGAAGAAGGTTCCTGCCTGGCTCACCCCCCAGGTGCTGCCGGATGGGGGCAGGAAGCAGCACAAAGGGCCAAGCTCGAGCGGAACCTAAGGACTTCGTTCTCCCACGCGTGCTTTTGTTCCCCCGCTCACCATTTTCTGAGCTCTCCTGTGTTCCAGGGAGGCAGCAGGGAGCCACACAGAGGTGGCCCCGACCTCAGGGAGAGGAACAACAGCCAGAAAAGGGACGTCAGGTGGCGGTGTATGCTTGGAAGCACAGTAGAGCTGGGCTCCTGGGACAGGCTGCTAAGGTTCTGCTGTTCGTAGGCAACAGGAAAGGACTCTGGGAGGAGTGACCTTTCTGCAGGGACCTGAAATTCAGGACTGAGGAAGTGAGCGTGCCGGGAGAGGAACAGCAAGCCAGCCCAGAAGCACATACCCTGGGGGGCTCGGCATGTGCTATGTGGAGATTATGTTCTATGTAGAGCAGGCTGACCTTGAACTCACTAGTGGGCGATCGTCCTGCCTCAGCCTCCCCAGTGCTGGGAATACAAGTGTGTGTCATCACCCTCGGCTTTGTTTTTGGCGGTACTGGGGACCAAACCCAGGGCCTTCACACCAAGCTACATCCCCATGTTCTTTTTTAAAATTTTGAGACAGGGTCTCACTAAGTTGCCCATGCTACACTAGAACTCGTTATGGTCCTGCTGCCGCCTTCCAGAGCGCTGGGCTTCGTATGAATGGGAGGACAGGAGGCCCTCGGGATCCATGGGCGATGTCCCAGGATCCACAGAAGCCACAAAATCCACACGTGCATGAGAAGGGCAGGACCTGCTGCTCCCCATTCCGCCCAGCAGTGGCGGAGAACGGACTCAGGAGGGCTGCAGGGGCCAGGGCCAGGGCACAGGGGCACCGGGGCCTGGCGAGGACGGTGCTGGGCAGCGGCTCTGCTGTCTCGGGACCCCAGATGGAGGCAGGTGGGCTCTGCCCCTCGGGAGTCCCCAGTTCAGCATAATGAAGTGTCAGCAGCCAGGTGGCCGGGAAATCATGGGCAGAGGCCAGCACGGGACAGTTGGGGACATGTGTGGAGTGGACCCTGAGCCAGCTCCCTACTGCTCACCAGGGTCCCCAAGCTGGGTGAGAGACTGGGGTCTGGGCTTCATCCTCGTCCAGCCCTGGGGCTCTGGCTGAGCCGTCCTCGTAACATGGTCCTCTGGCTGTCCCGTGAGGCAGCTTTTTTGGAGATGTCCATTTTCCGGGAGGGACACAGCTCCCACAGGTGTCCGCCCACACAGCAAGTGAGAGCTGGGATCTGAACTCATTTCTTTTCTGCGCCTGGAGCCCCTAACTTCCCTCTGACTGGGGTTGGAACCCAGACTCACTCCACCCCTGAGCTACATCTTTGGTCCTTTTTTATTCTGAGACAGGATCTCAATAGTTATCCTGGCAGGACTGGAACTTGCCATACTCCTGCCTCAGCCTCCCTAGTGCTGTGTCACGGTACCTGGCTTAGTCCCTGTGACCTTAAAAGTGCCGCGCTGTGGCAGAGCTGGGTCAAGGAGAGGGTGGCTCAGGAGCTGGGAGAGGCCACTTGTCCTGAAAGGACTCGGGCAGGCTGGCGCCAGCCGGCACCTCCACAGCCAGGGACAGGGCAGCCCCAGCCTTGGCAGGGGGCGGGGTTGGGGGTGCCCATGGCCTTGCAGGCTCTCTGTTCCCACAGTGGGAGTTTCCAAAAAATTCCGGGTGCTTTGACTAAACTGCAGCATCCTCGCCTGCTCCTGGACTGGGTGACTGGGTGACATCTGAACGCACAGGGTACACAGGCCCCTCACCGCGTCCTCAGGAAACCACTGAGCTGTGGCACAGGCGCGGCAGCGGTGGCGGGCCAGAGACGGGTGTGTTGAGGTGTGGACAAGCAGGCGGGGCGGTATAAACAGTCTGCCTGCAGGAGTTTTGTGCACCCTTGGTTGTAGTTTTTCTCTAAGTGAAACTGTCAACATAAAAACTTAACCTACAGTTTTCTTTAAAAAGCAAGAGAAGGGGGTCCGGGAATTTAGCTCAGTGGTTCTGCCACCTGCCTCACAAGCACAAGGTCCCAAGTTCTGTCTCCGGTACGAAAAAAAAAAAAAAGATTGCTGGGCGTAGTGACACACTTTGGAATCCCCACCCTTCGGAGGCTGAGGCAGGAAGATTCACCTTGAGTATAAGGGCAGCTTTGGCTACATAGTGAGACCCTGTCTCAAAGAAAAAGAAAAAAAAAGAGAGTGGAGCAGGGTGGAAGCCAGGCTCTGTCTGATCCAGCCGGACTTCCTGGGGAGGTCTGAGGTGGGGGGGGGCTGCTAGCTGTTATTTCTGGCTCGCTCCTCCCTTCTGCTTCTGCATGGGCTGCCCAGCCCCCCAGATGTGAATCCCAGGGGTGGGAGCTCCAGAGTCTGAGCGTTTGGCCTGAGCACAAGGCAGGGGCTGGGTATTCATGGCTGGAATTGCTGGCAGCTCAGCCGGTTCGGTGGTGCTCACCTGTGATCCCAGCACTCTGGGAGGCTGAGGCAGGAGGACTGCAAGTTCAAAACCAGCCTGCGTAACTTTGTAACTTAATGAGACCCTGTCTCAAAAAATAAAAATGGGGATCAGGGATTTAGCTCAATGGCGCTGTGCCTGCCTCTCCAGCACAAGGTCTTGAGTTTGATCCCTGGTACCAAAACAAAAAATAAATAAAATAAAAATGGGTTAGGGGTGTAGGCCAATGCAAAGACCCCCAGTGCCCCCAGACAAAAACTTGCTGTCTATTTCCCAGCACTTAGCCATGATCCGCCCCACCCCAGGCCAGCGGGGGCTCTGGGTCACAGGGACCTGTCTCTGGCACAGGGCAGGAGGACTACGACCGCCTGCGGCCCCTGTCCTACCAGAACACCCACCTCGTGCTCATCTGCTATGACGTCATGAACCCCATCAGCTACGAGAACGTCCTCATCAAGGTGAGGCCCGGCCTGCCTAGGGGCCCAGACCTGGCCAGCCTAGCCTGGCTGATGCCCCCTCCTCCCCCAGTGGTTCCCAGAGGTCACGCATTTCTGCCGCGGGACCCCCATGGTACTCATTGGCTGCAAGACCGACCTGCGGAAGGACAAGGAGCAGCTGCGGAAGCTCCGGGCGGCCCAACTGGAGCCCATCACCTACAATCAGGTGGGCAGCACCCAGCTCTCGGGGGTCACTGTCTTCGTACAGTGCCATGGGGTGGGGGGGCTCCCAGACCTCTGGCCTGGGTACCAGGGCTACCTTAGTGGCTTTTTCAGGAGGGATGCAAGCAGGATTCTTTTGTTGTTTTTGAGACCCACTGTATAGTTCAGGCTGGTATTGAATGCAGAGATCCTCCTGCCTCAGCCTCCTGAGTGTTGGGATTACAGGCACGCACTACACCTGCCTAAGCAACCAGGATCCTAAGAATAATTTTAAAATACAGACAGCCCAAGGATCTGAGCAATGAATACAGTACTTACCTCATGTTATCCTCATGCCTCTGAGGGATGAGTTATCAACATCTCCAGTTTACAGGGGAAAAACGGAAGCCCAGAGGAGAGGGTTAAGTAGCTTGGCCACGGGCACATAGCTGACCAGAAGTGGAGCTAGAATCTGGTCCCACTCATTCAACCTCCTTCCAGTCCTATCTACCTTGAGAGACCAGTAGGGCAGGTGCTTGTTTTTATTTGTTTTGTTTATACTGGGGATCAAACTCAGGAGGCTTGCGAGGCAGGCACCTAAACCAGAGCTAAATCCCTGGCCCCAATCCCTGTTTTTTAAATAGGTATTCAATTGGGTATGGTGGTGCACCCCATAACTACAACACTCTGGGAGGCTGAGGCAGGAGGATGTAAGATTGGGCAGCTTACCGATTTGACAAGACCCCCATCTCAAAAATAAAAGGGCCTGGGGATGTAGTCCATTGTGAAGACCCTGAGTTCGATCCCCATGCCTCAAAAGAAAAAATGAAGGATAGGTGTCCCTTACCCGGGAGAGTCAGAGGCAAGTCCAAACCCTACAACTTTGTGCATGAGATATGGGGAGTACATAGATAAAAAGAAAACACAAAGGTGTAGGGGCCGGGGATTTAGCTCAGTGGTTCTGCCGCCTGCCTTGCAAATGCAATAGACCGAAATGGTTCGATCCCTGGTACAAAAAAAAAAAAAAAAAAAAAAAAAAAAAAAAAAGTGGATTAATAAGGAAACTTTCATAAAAGGAGTAAATGTAGATACTGGGGGTGGTGGTACATGAGCTCAAACTCAGGACCTTGCACTTGTGAGGCAGGCACAGTGCCACAGAACTAAATCCCTGGCCCATTGTCTTTAAACATTTTAGCAGGGTGTGCTAGCACACACCTGTAATCCCAGCACTTGGGATGCTGAGGCAGGAGGATCACACCGGGAATAGAAGCCAAAACTGGGCTACACAGTGAGTTCAAGGCCAGCCTAAACTATTACAGCGGGACCCTGTCTCAAAAAAATTTTTAAAACTTTGGTAGCGACTCATAACCTAACGGAGTGCTGTCTGAGGAGAGGGGTGCAGAGGTCCTTCTGGCTCATCTCCCTGGAGAGGCGAGGTGGGGCTGCAGGGGACTCCGGGGTCTCCGAGCCCAGCTCCCCGCCTCCTCCCCGCAGGGCCTGAGCGCCTGCCAGCAGATCCGGGCCGCGCTCTACCTGGAGTGCTCGGCCAAGTTCCGGGAGAATGTGGAGGACGTGTTCCGGGAGGCCGCCAAGGTAGCGCTCAGCGCGCTCAAGAAAGCGCAGCGGCAGAAGCACCGCCGCCTCTGCGTGCTGCTGTGACCCGGCGGACCCAGCTGGGATTCAACTTCCTCAGACTCACGTGTGCCCCATGAGGGTCCCTCACGGGACCAGCCTTTGTCCCCAAGACCCCGCCCCGCATGTGCATCCCCTGTGCACACCCAACTTGTGCGTGGAACTTGGAAGACACCAGGTACCTGGGTAAACGTGGGCTTGGCACAGCTCCGCACAGGCCAGAGCCCGCTGCTCCCTGGTGCCTGCCTCGCTGAGCTGCCCAGATAGGAAGGCTGCATCCTCCTGCCTCTTCCTTCTTCCCCCTGGGAACTCAGGGGCCACGGCCTATCGGGGCAGCACAGGCGACAGCCCCGGATGTGCAGCTGGCACCAGTCACCACCCCCCCTCCGTCCCACACAGAGAACCTTGGCCTCAGCAGGGCCACCGTCTGTTCAGAGCTGGGCACACGTGCCTGGGGCAAAGAACGGTCTCTGGAAATATCGAGTCTGACCCTGCTCCTGCCCCACCGGGGACAGGATGAGGTCTGGGCTCACAGTGCAGACAGCGTCCTATTCCAGCCAGGGCCAGGCCATTCAAACAGTGAAGCTCCCGTGCACGCCCCCTTCTAGCAGGGCGAGCTCGGAACAGATGCCATCAGTCAGCCCGCAGACCGCAGACGCGGGATGGCGCGGTCCTGACAGCCATGCACCCGAGCCCCTCCCCAACCTTCCCGAAGGCGTCTCGGATGCCCGCAGCCCAGAGCTGTTTGCTCTGGAGCAAGCCGAGGAGCAAAGAAACCATGAGCTGGGCGGGCGCCTCCTCCCCGCCTGCCTCAGCCTCCCTCTGTAGGCCAGATCCTCGGGCTGCTGGGGAAGGAGACTTCTAAAGCCCCATCCCCTGGAGAGGGAACCAAGTGACCCACTTGGGACACGCCTGGCCACTACCTATTTTTGTAAATAAAGTTTTATTGGCATGTGGCCACACCACTGCTGCACACATTGACTTCCTCCATAGCTACTGACTAGTTGCCATAGAGACCTCGAAGTCCACAAAGATGCCTAAAATATTTCCCATCTGGCTTTCACAGAAAACAGTTGCTGACCCCCAAGCTGGGGCAAACCCAGGGACCTGTAAACAGCCAGGCAGGAGGGGTGGGCGGGCAAGAAGAGCATAGGGGAGTGCAGGACTGGAAGCCAGGGGCCTTGTATCTGTTCCCGTTTTACCCCCTTCCCTGAACCCAGGGCCCATATGAGTTACACTCCCAGCCCCTTTTATTTCCATTTTGAGAGAGGGTCTTACTTATTAAGTCACTAAACTGCTCAGGCTGGGCTCAGACTTCACGGGTGTGCACCACAACGCTGGGCCAGATCTTTTTCATTTTTCCAGGGAAAGTGAAAATTTGGATTTTTATGCGAAATCACTGTGGTGGGGGTGGGGTCTCCTCAAATGTAGCTAATTTAAGGAATTTGAAACCTGTCTGAGAAACTAATCCCCAACTGGACGCCGTTGGGAGGTTGGGAGGTGTGGTCAGATAGGGAAAATAGGTCAGTAGGGAAGTGGTCAAAGGCATCTGAGCCCGTTGGGTCAGAACCTTCAATGGAGTCTGGCTGCTTCCCCACCCTTCCTGCCACCAGATCTGACACCAGGCCCCAGTCCTGGCCTCACCAGGTGGCCCCCAGGGGGTGAGCCTGCTAGAGCTGCCCCTCTGCCTCCCTGAGTACTAATGGCACCCTGAGTACTAAAGGCACGTCTGAGGCTGAGGCCAGAGGATTGCGAGTTCGAGCCCAGATGGACAACTTAGCAAGACCCCATCTCAAAATAAATAAAATGGCCAGGAATGTGGCTCCGTATAAAAGCTCTAGGTTTGATCCCCAATAACTCACAATTTAAAACGAGGGGGAAAGGTGAGCTGAAGGGTGTATGCCAGCAGACCCCCAAGAGTGGACCAGGACTTTGAGAGACCTCAAAACCGGCAGTTGCTGAACTCTGAGGCTGGGGCGCCCCCTGGTGGTAGCCTTCCCTAAAACCTCCCTTTTCAGGCCACCTCACGGCCAGCAGGTGGGGGAGTCTCAGGAAACAGGAAGAGCACAAGAGACAGGCTGTGGTTCTCTGAGAACTTAAATAAACCCGCCCTGTAGTGGGGGCCACGCGATGCTGGAGGTGTCACCGTCCTGGCACCTGGACACCGTAGGTGGCAGGGCAGAAGAAATCCAAGCTGAGAGGCACATCGGAACCCACCGTGAAGGTTCAAGGGCAGGCATGGGTACAGAGGGGCTCCCTGAGGCTCGGGCCCCTCTCCGGGAAGACTGACCTGGACTCGGGCTGTGCCGAGAGCAGCTGTGGGGGCACGGGGACCTGGCATTAAATATGTCATAAATAGGGCTAATACTGCGAGGACGGCGCCGTCACATTCCGCGTCGGGGGAAGCTCTCCAGCACCGTGCTGGCCCCTGAGATGCTGCTGCCCCGGCCCCCAGGAAGCCCAGGACCTCCGAGCTGGGCCGGGGCCCTCGAGTCCAAGGCTCGCAGCCTCTCAGTCTCACTCTTGGCTCGGACCGAGGCTACGGCTTCTTCATTTTGTTTCTGTTCTGCTGGAGTTTGGCGTGCACAACCTTGAGCGTGGTCAGGAAGTTGCCCAGGAAGAGGACGAGGAAGGTGAGCGCCAGCACGAACACCTAGGGGATCCAGCGGCGCCCACGGGCAGGCAGGGCAGGAGAAGCCTGGGTCAGCGCCCTCGTGCCACGGTCAGCACCCAAGACCGCAGAGCCACCAGCAGAAGGGGGAGCGGGGGACCCCTGGAGCCTCCTCGGCTCACAGACCTGGGAAGGTCCCAGCCGCAGCTCCAGGCAGCCCAGCCCAGGCCAAGACAGGGAAGGGGCCAAAGGCAGAATTCTCCCCACGCTAGCCCAGCACTCCACAGACACGGACAGGCAGATGGACACGGACAGACAGACAGACAGACAATGACAGACACAGTTACGCACGCACGCACCGTACCTGCCATTCTCTGCATTCCTCATGCGTGGAGAGCTCGAACAATGTGACGGCGTTGTACAGCTGCCAGAACTGGGGACAGACGGGACAGGCAGTCACCACCTGCTCCCCAGGGACCTGCGGGAGCCAGGGAGATGGAGCAGCCCCCAGCAGAGCAGGTCTGAGGGCCAGGTCCTGCAGCTGTCCTTGGCATTCCTGGGCCCAGGGGCAATGGGGACAGACAGGTGCCCCCCAGGCCTCACCCCAGGAAGGAAGACTGACCGCATCCCGGATACGGCCAGGGCAGGGGAAGATTCAGGCTCCCAGAAGCTGGGGAGCTCCGGACTCAACAGTGACCGAGAGAGCCGGAGCCTAAGCCCAGTTGGGCCGGAGCGGCCTGAAGACTGGGGATGTGCACACCGGGGGGACTCACGTGGCCGCAGAAGAGGAAGGGCAGGAGGAAGGTGAGGCCCCGCCACATCCAGGACTGGAACCCTTCTGCGGGGAGGGCAGGAGAGGGGCCGTGTGAGGGCCCCCTAGGGTTAGGCAAGCAGGGACGGCCCTCCCGGCACAGCCCCCACGGGCCCCGACCTCCCCTGCCACTCCTCACACTGCCAGGAGCCCGAGCCTGGGAGCACCGGGGTCCTCACACTGTCCTCACCAATTCCTTCTCGGCTCTGTGTTGTGCACACGCGCGCACACCTGCCCCCTCCCTCCCCCCTTCCTCTCTCTCTCCCTCTCTTTCATGACTGGTGATTGAAGCCAGGCCCTCTGCACTAAGCTACACCCCCAGGCCCTTTATTCTTTTATTCAGAGGTAGGGTGTCTCTAAATGGCTAAATGGCCAATTGGACTCAAACTTGTGATCCTCCTGCCTCAGCCTCCCAGAATGCTGACATTACATGTGTCACCAAGCCGAGCACTGGTTTCTTTTAATTTGCCCAGGATTTTGTAATTTCACATAACCCACTTGGCAGAGTAATTTGAGGAAAATGACTGGATCAAACAATAGCAGAGTTGTTAGAAATAGTTCCTCTTCTAAAGTTTAGGCGAGGGGACTGTAAGCTTTTTGAACGGGGTATCTCTATGGGGGAAAGTCAAGCACACACCCCCAGCATGGGTACACCTGAGTGTTTAGGCACATTTATATGCAGACGTGTTATATACTCCCAACTGACAACGGGCTAACATCGTGTGGCGTCAAACAGAGGAGCCAGGCGTGGTGGCGCACATCTTTAACCCCAGCTACACTGGAGGCTGAGGCAGGAGGGTCACAAATTCCAGGCCAACCTGAGCAGCCAGTGACTTATTACGACCCTGTCTCAAAAATTAAAAAAAAAAAAAGATTAAAAGGGCTGAGGATACAGTTTGGTGTTGGAGCACTTCATAGCATTCAGGAGGCCCTACAGAACAAAAACCACATACAAAATACAGGCATTGAAAGGGGAAAGGGCGAGAGCACAGCACCAGGAGCTGAGCTGACACAGAATCCACTACGAACTCTACAGGGTGAGGCCTCAGTGCGGGGCCCAGCAAGCCCTGGCTCCCTCTCCCCTACTCACCGACTGTGAGGTCCAGGTGGTTCCGCTCGCCCAGGGCCCGCAGCCGGTAGAGGCAGCCCCGCTGGTAGTAGTACTGCAAGAACTGCACACAACCTGCGGGACAGAGTGGGCTGTCCCATGGGAGGAGGCCGCCACCTCCCCCTCCTCCCCTCCCTAACCTGGATCCCTGTTCTCCCTCATCTGGAAGTGAGCACCGGACGCCCAGCCAGACTCAAGGACTGCAGTTTCCTGGCAAAGCAGTGGGTGCTCGGGAGATGCTGTGACCCACACAAGATGTGCCAAGCTGGGACCAGAGCTGTGTGTACCACTAGGACACGGAGGCGGCTCCTGGCAATGCAGTTTTCATTTAGAAATGAAGTTGTCTTTTTTTTTTTTTTTTTTTTTTTTGAGACAGGGTCTGGCCATGTAGCCCAGGTTGGCCTCAAACTCAATCAGTCCTCCTGCCTCAGCTTTCTGAGTGCTAGCAATTAAACTGGGTTTTGGAAAAGGCAAAATAGTCCTAGGTGCAGTGGTGTATGCTATAGTCCCAGATATGGGGTTGGCTGAGGCAGGAGGATAACTTGAGCCCCCAGCCTGGCAAGATGCCCATCTCAGGGACAAAAAATAAAATTTAATGTCTCAGATACAGCTCGGTGGGAGAGCACATGCCCAGAATGCACAAGGCCCTAGGTTCCAAAGCCAGCACCACACACACACACACACACACACACACGGAAAGGCAGGAAGCAAACCCTGGGACCAGTTCATTGCATACAAATCCAGAGCTATTCTCAAGTAGAAAAAGTTATATATACTATAGTGTGGTGAGGATGTATTTGAAACCAGAAGGTTCTGGGGATTTAGCTCAATGGTTCCGCCACCTGCCTCACAAGCACAAGGTCCCAAGCGACCCCCAGTACCAAAAAAAAAAAAAAAAAAAAAAAA